GAGATATCTATTATCCTTTTATTGTAAGTTTTGTAGTGATGTCCTCTTTCATTAGTGATATTGGTTATGTGTGTGTGTGCGCGCGCACGCACGCTTTTTGTTTTTGTTTTTGGTCTGGCTAGAGGGGAGGTGTATCACTTATTCTTTCAAAGAAGTAGCTTTTTGTTTTATTTATTTTTCTATTGTCTTCAGTTTTGAGTTTTGCTCTTTATTATTTCCTTCCTTCAGTTTAGGTTTAACCAGCTCTTTTATCTCTAGGTTAAGGTGGAAGCTTAGTTCCTTGATTCAAGAGCTTTTCTCATATATACATTTAATGCTATAAATTATCTTTTGAGCACTTCAGTTTAATCCCACAGCTGTGAAACATTGTTTTCATATTCCTTCTGTTCAATTTTTTTCTAATATTCTCTTGTGATTTCTTCTTAGACACAGGAGTTATCTAGCAACATGTTGTTTAATTTCCAAATATTTGGGGGATTTTCCAGATGGTTATCAATTTCTTGATTAGTTCTGGTGTGTTTAAAGAACATGATTTGCATGGCATCAGTCTTCTTAAATTTTATTGCAACTTGTGCCCCAAGATATGGTTCATTTTGGTGAATAATCATGGTGCATTTGAAAAGAATGTGTATTCTTATGTTGGGTAAAATATTTTATACATGTTAATTAGGTCAAGTTGGTTGAAAATGTCATTCACATCTTCTATAACCTTACCTATTTTCTATATACTTGTCTTACTATTTACCAAGAATTCGAAATCTCCAATTGTGGATTTGTCTATTTCTCCTGTTAGTTTTTGCTTCATGTATTTGGAAACTGTTACTAGGTTCATATAAACTTAAGATAAATTCTCTTGGTAAATTGACCCTTTCATCATAAATATCCCTCTTTATACCTGAAAGTATATTTTGTTCCAAAATCTACTTTGGTATTAATTTAGCCATTCTGGCTTTTAACTAGAGTTTACATGGTATATCTTTTTCATCCTTTTTCTTTTAGCCTACTGATTTACCTATATTTAATGTGGGTTTCTTACAGGTAGCATGTTTTTTGTTTGTTTTTTTAATATCCAGTATGAAAAATCTCTACCTTTAAATTGATGTTTAGACTATTTACCTTCAGTGTTATGATCAATATGGTTGGATTTAAATTTTCTATCTTGCTATTTTCTATTTCTGTATAATTTTATATCTTGCCTTCTTCCACTTTAATCATATTTTAAAAGCTGAGTAATATTGAGGTATCATATTTTAAGCTTCCCCATATTATCCAGCATTTTGGTTCCTTCTAGTTAATTTATTGTGAACATTACCGTACAGGTCACTTCAAACTTGGTTTATATTAGCAAGATTTACTTCTCTAAAACAAAGTAGGGAGCGGTTATGGCTTAGGTGCTGGAGTCACCCAACATGCACACCAAGCTCAGCCCTTTAATTAGTTGTGACCTTGAAAAAGTTATCCTATTTTTTTTTAAAGCCCACTCTGAAACTGTAAGATGTAGCTAATTAAAGTTCCTATGACAAAAAACTGTTGTGCGAATTAAGTGAGTTAATTTGTATAGAGCATCTACCACAGTGCCTGATACACAGGAAAGTTTCAGCAAGTGTTTTAATGAATGAATCTAGTGCAAGGCAGCAGGATTAGGACAGGTAGGATGCAAATATTTTCAAATTCTCATTAGACAAAAATAAAGCCAGTTTTGTAAACTGTCTAGTTATTAAAATTACTTTTTCCATTAAGTGCATTTCTTTTGTGAATTAAATCCTTCATTATGAAAAGATCTCAATGTTTTTCCCACATGACCTCTTTAAAACACTGTCATAATGCAAAATTTTGCAGCCCCTTTTAATACACATATTTGTTAAATTTGACCATTTAAAAAAACTTTTTTAACTTTCCTGGAGGATATATCTTTTTTACTAAATCACTCTCCTTGTGATCAATGTGTGAACAGGTTAGTTTTCCATTTATAGCTGGTGAGTGCTGACAGAATGCTCTTGATAACTTGTCTTTTATAAATTTGGTTCAATATTGAAATGTTGCTGATATCTTGACTTTTTCAATTCCAGTTTTATGGTAATTATCTTTTTTTTCACTCGGGTATAAAAAGAATAATCTTAAAAATAATCATTTTGTACTAAGAATTTAAATCACAAATTGATTTAAATTTCTCAAAAATTCTGTAAAAGTATGCCTCCCGCTCCAAGAGAGTATCTCATGGTAATTGAAATAACGTAATGTCCGTTCTCTACCAGACTGTTAAGGATCACCAGGCCAGGGCCAGAGCCATCTTTTTTACTGCTGTACTGCCAGTCCCTGACCCATTGTGGGTATACTCAACCAAATATCACATAAGGCAATGTTCTAAGCCCTACAAATAGCACTTTTCTAAGGACCAGTAATTCAGGAATAATGCTCTAAATTTGTCCCAGGTTACCTATTAGCTGAATTTTGATTTGGATTGAAGACACTAGCCAATTTTATGTTGGGAGAGGGAACCTAGTTAAGTATGGGGTAGTTGTGGTAGGTAGTTGTAGGAGCTATCAGTTTTAACCACAATCAAGTATATAAGACAAGGTATGAGGAAACCTGCACAGGTAAGTAAACAAAAATCATTATAAATGTTTATACATAAATGAATCAAGTGCTTAATAGGTGGTCATTCCTAGTGTCAGACACCTGGGGAAGAAGTACGTATAAGGGATCAGAAACCAAAGTGAAGAAAAGACCTAGGGAGGTCGAAGAGTTTACTCTTTGGATTCTGATGTAAAACATCAAATTGTGTCAAAGGTCACTCCAAATCTGGCTGATAGTACGATGACCTCCAGCTAAACCTCCAGCCGGTTGAGCTAGTCTTCTTTTCTAAATTGTAGCTTCCTCAAGGAAGTTTAGGGTGGAGTTCAAGGAACAAGCATTATCTTTACAATGTAAGTTAGATGGTTTCTGTAGCAAAAAATCTGAATTTATATGTTCTAAACTCTCTTTCATGCTCGTAGTCTTAGCTCTTCTATGAGTATTAGGCTTTTTTGTTTAATACTCAAAAGTGTTAATAGAAAGCAAGTTCCTTCCAAAGTTAAGTTAAAGTCAAGATCCTTGGAGGCTCTGGTTGTTTTAGGCCTTTAGTTAGACAGAAATTTTACATAAGTTAATTAGAATTTTACTTCCTTTTCAAGAGGCCATGATTATCTGCCTAACTTACCGACATATCCCTAGAGTGTAGAACATAGGTGCTCAATAAATTTGTAGGAACAATTTACAACTTTTACATCAGCTAAAGGCAAATAACTCACATAGGAAGATGGTAAGAACAATCATAAAACTGCTTTGAGGGTGCTATAATAAAGCCCTCATTTTACTTGATTTTACTGTTGTATATACTAATTATATATTCAGATTTTACCTCATAAGCAGTTATACATGTGGTACCTGTCAGTTTTATTATACTTTAGTAGAGTGCTAGTGACAATAGGATGATTGTTTGAATCTTTATAGAGAACTTTTGATGTTGTCAATATGGTTCCTAAAAGATAAAACTAAGTAAGAGTTACAGAAGTTTGATGAAGGAAACAAATGAAAAAAACCTTATAGTCAGATATCCTGTGAAGCTGAAGCTATGATTTATACTTAGATCCTTTATAAATGCAGATGTCTTGAGCTTTTGAGGACAGTGAGTAAAACGGATGAAACTCAGTTATGTGGAAATCAGTTTTAGTAAATCAGAAATAGTTAATTCAAAGTTCACAAGTTTCAATATTCCCTCCCAATAAGATACCTTGCCAAATGTTATTTGTCTTTATCACAATTATAAAACAAGTCATAATTCTTTGAGATTTAATTTCTGGGCTAAGTAGTGATCGCTTCCTACTAACTTTATGTTCCCAACTATTTCTGAGGCTATGATTCTAAACAATTTCTACCTAAGAAACCTAGTATTTTAGAGAATTAGAAAGGTTGAGAATTTCTGCCCCAGTAACAGATTATTTTGACTTCACTTTCCTGAATGTTGTACCAAGATAACTACACCTAAATAAAATCCGACTCAGGCCCTTTTTTCCATATGACTGTAATTTGGCTGTATCATAAACTAGGCCTAAATTCCTAGGGTAGAGCCTTATAAGGGAAGTCCAATTCAGGACCCTCTGCCATGATTTATTCCCTGAAAAATTCTCATAGGCTCACTACTCCAACTCACTGTAGTATCCAATTTCCAGGAATGTTCAAATCACCCAGCTACAAAAGCACCAATCTGGGAGGCAGATTGGTGTTTACCTCCACCCAAAAACCTAACCGTAAGAGCAGAAATTTTTGGAACGATTTCTCTTACATTGTGAAAAATGATAAAGTGCAATACATTCTACGCCTCATTTATGAAACTAAGCCCTTTAGAGAGTAAAGACACCACCTTTCCAATTACCTGCCTTGGTTGTCAACAAAGCCCAATGTTTTTTCCAAGCATTAACATGGAGCCAGGTCCATTGACCCCCACCTCCCAGGATTAATATCGTTGTGTATTCCCCTGTCACACTGAACCACACTTTACAGTGGTCTGTGACCAGTGGGTACAGTGGAATTGTTATGTCACTTCTGAAGATTTCCCAACTCACTCTACTAGTAAACTCCTTCCACACTAACAACAAAAAATTGAATATATGTTACTTTGTAGTCAATGCACACCACTGAGATCAAAGCCTAAAGTGTCAGGTGTTTTTAATAATTACATTCAAAATATAGCAGCAGTAAAATAGCTCCTTGGATTTATTTTTTCTCTCATGAGGACTGAACTGCAGATATTAAGAAGTGTTTCTATGAAGTTCCAAAAGGTCTAAATTAGGAGGCTATGATTACACTTAGCCTACTTTACTTTTAACTTAGTTCTTAAAGATATGTAAAAGTATTTTGAAAATAAAACCGGCAATAGCAAACAATGACTACATATAGCTGTTGATCTCAGAATTCAATGCAATGTAGGGTTTTGAGATTTACCACACTTTACAGATTACTACCAGAACATCACATAAGTTTATTTCAGATGTAACAGCAATGTTAAAATCAACAAGTTTAATTCTTAACTGCACCAAGTAAACTTAGCCATTTAAGTATTTTTAAAGTTATTCCCTCCAAAAAAATGAGGGAGCTTTTCTTTTCCACCCCACATATCACGGTTTCCCAATAGTTCTGTTTTTGGAGGACTTTCAATTGATGAGTAAACTGCTTTGGGGATATTTCAGAATTTCTTTCTCCAAATAAAAACTAATCTGGACAAATTATATATTGCATAGATTTCTCTGCAGATTCTTTCCTTTAGAACCTAAATGCAATTACCAGAGTATAATTTTTACCTATTCACTCCACAGTAAAACCATCTGTCTTGAAAAATATGGATACATCCTATGATCTTCCAGTTAACAGAATTGTTTTACCTCAATGATAATTTTTATCCTATTTCAAAATAACCAACTCAACATGGGACATTATTTCAGTCTTTACTGACTCACAGGCATATGAACTAGTGCCCAGCTTCTACCTCTTCTAAATCCTCCTCAAGTGGATGGAATTATTTAATACAAGTTTGATGTAGGACAACTGACCGTTTACAAACATTTATAATTTAGGTTAAAGTCACTGACTAGTGTGGAAAAAGAAACACTATAATGATAGGGAGCCTACACACTCAATTCAAAATTTAATATTTTTTCCTCCTTAAATAACATGTACTTAATTGTCATGAGGCAGCTATTCGGTTTTTCAATAACCACATTTAGGGATACATTCATAGGACTGATTAGATAGTCCAGGTGAAATGGTTATAGAAATAGAGGCAGTGTCATCTCAGAAAACTCATTTACATATCAAAGTGTATTTTGATATCTGGAAGTTTACAAAAAGGCTGAATTCTTCAAACTAATTACGCCTTCTGTAACTCAAACACTCTTCTCTTGGCAAGAGCAAGCTGAAGGTAATCCATGAAGGTAAAGGTGCTTAATGCTAAACTTTTCTTCTACGCTTAGATTTAGACTGCTGAAGAAACTGATACCCAAAAAACCAGCATGGTCTTTCTACATTTTTACTATCTTAAGATTAAAACCCTATAAACTCATTCATGAACTATCTTCCTTTTTTGTATGATTCTTGGCACTCGGTTAAGACTTCTTTTGTACTTTGTACTTTCACATTCTCAAATAAGAACTTAAGATTATAAAATGTGCATAAACATTGTGTAAAATAATTTTGTTATTTAACGTATTTGGAGAGATGAAACTTTTATACCAGAATTTACATAAGAGGATAAATATTATAAATCAACCTTCCTCTTAAAGTCAAACGATAGAATCTTCAAGCTCTGTGCATTGTTTTAAAGTCTAATGAGAACACTTATTGGACCACCAATAATAGCAATCTAGAAATTTTAAATATTGGTGATGGGACTATGGAGGAAAACAAGAAAATTTCAGATGTCTCCTATCTTACAAAGAGTTATCAACCCGTCAAAGCCACTCCTTATGTGCCAGAAAATGATCTGGCATAAACCAGTCCTGTCAGTAGGGGAGGTCACAGTGACATTTGCATTATTAACACTTCTAGACTTTTACTTTTCCAAGAACAGAAGCAATGTTTAACAATTTTCCCTCCCCCAAATTCTTAAACTCAATATCATAGGCACAGAATGTAAGCAAATCTGGGATGTTCTCCAACAGATAAGCAATAGCACAGCTACGTTATTCTCAAAAATACTGTCTAGATATTCTTTCCTATAATCAAATGCTCAGTGGCTTCACTTTTAACAGACTGCATTAGCTGACATTAAATGCATTTATTGCGCCACAAGTCCATCTAAGCTTCCTTTTAGGTATGTTTTAATATGTCCAAAAGACAACACCTGCTTCAGGTTTCTTTAGGGGTATTGACCTATAAGGACAACAATTCCATTTTTAAAGTTATACTAACTATTGTGGAATTACTGAAGAAAAAAGTCAGGAGAAAAAAAAGTAAGTCACAACAAACCTCTTTAGGTCAGTTAAAGGCCATATCTCTAGCTGGGATATTAAAAAAAATTAATCTCACCAGCCCACACTCTAAAAGTTAATGCCACTAATAACAATCAACAGCAGGAAAAATAAACCTGCTAACAACCAGTCCACTCATTAGCAAAAAGCAGTTTAACTCAAATACTGAGACCAAAGTCTAACACTACCTACCCAAACTGTCCCACCCACCCTCAGTCACCAGCAAGGAAGGAGAAATAACTGCTTTAAAAAAAAAAAAAAAAAAAAGGCTTAGTATTTCTTATAAGGATAACAATGGTCCAACTCCTGAGACAGTACTCAGAAGGACAAAAGGTGGAGTGAAGGCAATGTCAGGGATTAGTATCCCACAAACAGTCTTAAAAAAACCAAAGTACCATAAGCACATTAAACTTGTCTACAATTAGCGAACAAGAATATTGCTGCTGCTGCTTTTTGTCTTTCGTAGGCTCTGCCCTTCAATGTGAAAGCAGGACATGAAAAAAAATCTTTAAAAAAAAATGAAATTGACACTCAAGTTTTGGGGACCATACATCTTAACTGTAAATTAAGTTGATCTATACCTTCTTCCTACAATGAAACCACCTCACAAAAATAAAAGAACTAAAACAATCCAAACATGATTAATTTTAAAAGTCCTTGAAAGTATTAAAACTTTTAGAGAAAAGGGAAGAAAAGGAGGAAAAACAAGAACATGGAGGGAGGAAAGCTTTAAAAGAAAGGGGGGAAAAAAATCAATGGGCCTCTCTTTTATTTGGCGACAAGCAAGTGCAAGAAAGTTCATTTGTAATCTGTTCAGTTGTCTGTCTTGTGCACATCCGCGTTCTGGCCAGAAGGGACTTTGAGATTTTTCTGCAGCACATGAGCATCTGCTGGCTCTATCCTCTTATAGTAGTTCTTCTTTGTCTCAATAATCTCAAAGCCAAACTTTCTGTAGAAGTCAATTGCCGACTCATTGCTGATCTGGACATGCCTATGATAGAAGTGTATCAAAGTAAATAACAATAAAATTTCATCAGCTTTTATGTGTTCTCCATATAAATTCAAATTGGTTGGAGCTGGAATACTGCAGACATTAGTTAGATTCTCTTTACAATTACTAGTAATCAATAAAGGTTAGGTATTCATTTCAGAAAACCTTTTGATAACAGATTCATACTTTTAACCTAGATCTTACATTTGCAAGACAGCTAGCTGAGATGAGGAGACTCAAAGAATAGTGTTTACTCTTACATAATCAACAAAAGGCAAAGTACCTTGGCTACTGTAACATTTTTTATTGAGAGAGAAAAGATTCCTGTAATTAAAAATGGATAAATAACTATGGGGATGATTCAAAGACCATATTAACACATGCAGAAAAAAATGATTAAAAAAATTAAAAATCAGAGTTTCAAATGCCTGAATATATCCTTTCTGACTGATACAAGAACATGGTATATTTTCAATGGAATATTACCCAGCCATAAGAAGAGATGAAATACTGCCATTTGCAACAACATGGATGGACCTCGAGATAATCATACTAAGCTAAATAAGCCACACAGAAAAAGTTGAAAATCACGTGATATCACTTATATGTGGGATATAAACCTAAAAGCAACAAATGAACAGGACAAACAGAGATTCACGGACATGGACAATAGACCAGTGGTTACTAGAGGGGAGAGGGGAGGAGGAAGGTAGATGGGATAAAGGGGGTCAAACATGTGGTGACAGAAAGAAATCTAACTATGAGAGGTAAACACACAGTGTAAATATACATGTGGCTTACTGTTAAAATGCACAGCTGAAACTTATTGGAGTTTGTTAACAAATGACACCATAAATTAAAAAAAAAATTTTTAATGGTACAGTTGGAAAGAAATAATTTGAGCTTTCTCAATTACTCCTCAAAATACAATTATATAACTTAATGTATCCTCCTGTCAAAGTGAAAATGAGAATCTTAATATCTGTATAATAAACAATCCATAGTTGTGATATTATTCTTGGTTCTTAATCTGAGCTCTCTTAAGCTCTAAGTACAGTATCAGCCAGGTATTCTCTAATTTTGATTATTAAATTCTACTACTAATGAGCACATCATTGAGAGACTTGAACAAATTGCAGAGTGCAAACAGATGGCATGAAAAAAGTAATATTAATGGATTAATTCTTAAATGTAAGAATTGAGTTTTAATCTTGGTTTTATTCTCATGACTCTTGGGGTAACGTAATAAAGCAAAACAAGAATGTTTTATCTCAAGTTCCTTATCTATTTTTAAAACAAAACAATAAAACAACATAACTACTACCTTCCATGGTGTTTCCAAATGACAATGAAATAAGTGACCAGAATTTAAAATTTCTAGTAAAAATTTCTACTGCCAATTTATTAAACTCTTTATTAAATAACAATAACATCATTTTACTTACAGATAGATGTTGTCAAAAGTGCCATCTTTTTCACAGATGTTTAAGACATGATTTAACATTTTAGTTCCTATTAACAAAACAAATAAGTAATCTCATAAAAATCAATCTTTACACATCCAGCTGAGTCCTAATAAAATTTATAAGGTAAACACTAGACATCTTGATTTTCCAAAATTATGTTCTCTCTACACTACCTACTATGTTTAAAATTGCTATCAGAAAAGCAATCTTTAGCTCTTTCAGGTAGAAGGAAAACAGAAAAAGCAAGAGATATAAGTAATAGATCTATATAGGACTTCCAAATGAACTATGTTAATAAATAATTACTTTTCACCTCATATAATTCATTAACCATTTCCTAGTATTCCTAAAAGAAATGGATGACTTACTGGGTCAGGAACAATAACAATGTGCTTATGCTTCTTTGAAGAAATAAGAAAACGCAAATAATTTTACCTATTCCTAGCCTTCGGTACGGTGCCAGACATCCTAGTGTCATGATGTAAAGTCTCTTCTGATTCTGTGAATGATCCACCCTACAGCATACCGCACCTACTGCAATATCATTGAAATAGGCTGCCATGGAAAACATAAAGATATAAAGTTCAACAGACAGAATAACACATTTTACTGAATCTTTTTCACCCTGTAAGAATTAAACTGTTGCTATCAACATTAAACATTATCAGTTATTCTGAATATCAACAACCTGAAAAACCTCCTATGCCCTTTTCAGGTATTTAAGCCTCCTCTAAATCCTCTAAAGTAAAGCCAAATATGTGAAAACACAGAGGCAAACAATAAATAAAAGATATTTAGCATTTCTTTGTAAAATTCAAATATTTTATTTTGATTTCTGAGATTTTTCTCAGAACTTGGATCACTCCCATTTCTTCACTTGTAAAATAAGGAGATTAAATTGGTTAACTCTTTCAGTTCTAATAGTAAAAACTAGGGGTCAAGAACATGAATTACAAAATGAAGGGAGGAAAAAACCGTATTATACCAAGTTTTGCTAGCTCGCCAACCTCCAGCACATCCTTGTAGAACTTGTCATTGTAGCTGACTGGAAAGATGACCTGGTTTAATCTCTTCAGCTGTTTAATATTGTGTGGTGTCACATCTCCCAGCTCGATCCGGCTACTGGAACAAACCAAAATGTACTCAATAAAATATAATTAGCTACACTTGTTGAGACTAACATATTAAGACTAATAAAGTCTTTTTTACATGATAAATTCAACCCTTTCCCAGTGACATTATACTCCTATGAAGATTACCATTCATAAACAGATTCTGCCAGCCATTCCATCCAGATTGACTCTTGTAACTTTATATATATGTATACTTTTATAGACAAATAAACAATTACAAAAAAGGCTAGATAATATGCTATATAAATGCCATATTTTTCCCTGTAGTTTACAGTTAACTTTAAGACATCTATTACTGACCAAAAAGATTGATGATACTTAATATTGGCAAGGTGGTAGTGAATGGGATTCTGATACTATGCTGCCTGGAATGTCAATAGATAAAATATCTCTTGAGGACAATCTAGCACTATGTACCAAAAAGCCTAAAAAGTACATCTCCTTTGTCCAAGTAATCCTACTCTAGAAAATTATGCACATTCTACTGGAGCCAGTAACCATCAATAAAGTCACATGGGGTGGTAGCCAAAGTCTAGATTCCTGGACCCCACCCCACAACTTCAGAAGCAGAATCTCTGGAAATGGAAGAAGAGAATCCATATTTTAAAAACAAACAAACAACCCTACAAAATACCCCAGTTTGAAAACCACCTACCAAAAATGCAACAGCAGCATTTCTAAGAAAACAAATGTAATCAAAACACTGGTCCCAAGGGAAAAGGGATTAAAGCTAAAGTCTCAGATTTATAGTAACAAGGTTGTCTTGCCTATAGAGCTGTCAACAAGAGGAGTTTTTAACAGCTCAATTTCACTACCATAAGTTAAAGGCTGATCAAATGCGACAAGACAAACCTGAGTAGCATCTACAATTTTTTCTCCTACTACTAGCACTACCATCAGTAAAGTTGCTTATATACATTATTTGCCTTCTTAAATATCTTGGCAGTGGGTGATAAAAACATTTAAAAATCAAAATAAGAATGAGTTTAAAAATAAAACAATCTAATGCCAACCAAGCACATAGAAAATGATGTAGGTCCTACTCATTCATTGCTAGTTCTAGAACACAATGGCATTGGTCAATAGCGGGGAAATACAAACAATACACCATAATTAGTCATTCTCAAAAGGGCACATGGGTTTTGAAAACTCTGTTGGAGAAATGACTAAACAAGAATGTTAATCATCACTCTTTTATGATGGCAAAATAAAAAAAAAAAGTTGAGTGCCCACCAATAGAGGACTGGTTAAATAAAGCATGATACAAATTATATTAGCATAGGAAGATGGTGCTGACATATTGTTCTGTAGAGTGGAAAGTATATTCCAACTATATATGCATATAAAAACTATGACTCAACTTTTGTTAAAACATACAAAAAATGTTTGAAAGTGTATTCCATAAGATATGGTCAAAACTGTAGGTAATTTAAAAAACAATATTTTCTAAATGTTAAAATTTAGGTAATCAGAAAACAACAGAATGTATTACAATTCTTTAAACAAACAAACAAAAAAACCTGATTACAGACCATTTGCTCATTTGGAACATTAGCCTTCCTGCCTCAATTATTTTTATGTTGTTTTCTATTTAATTGTGACCATCCTTGCATATCTTCAATGTCATCTTAAAATCTGAGCAGATTTTTAAGACACAAAAATCTTATTAAAAAAGATTTTATGTTATATTTTCCAATTTCTAGCCATGAGTAAATATAGCTTTCTCCCAAGTATCTGACAACTAAAATGGATTCCCTTCATGAGATTCATGTCTTCCTTAACTAGGTTACATCTCATTCACAGAATTCCCTCTTTATTAAATCACACCCTAACTTTCTCATCTTTATGGCCAAGAAAATGAAATTTCACCCCAAACCTTGTTGATTAAAATCTACTGGGCTCACTTACCCAACAGGTACCACTCACAGGATTTTTATTGGCAGACACTGTTATGCTGTAAAATACAGGATTCCTTAAAATACAGAAATCACATCTTACCTAAAATGTCTATTATTTTTTTTAAAGAATTCCTACCATTTAGTTAACATATCCATCACCTCACATATTTTTTATTTTTTGGCGAGAACACTTAAGTTCTCTCTTAGCAAATTTCAATTAAATAGAGTTAACCACAGTCACCATGTTGTACATTAGAGTCTCAGATCTTATATGTCTCATAGCTTAAAATTTGTACGCCTTCACCAATTTCTCCCTATTTCCACAACCCTGGCAACCACTTTTCTACTCTATTTCTGAGTTTGACTTTTTTTTCCCTTCAAATTCCACATATAAGTGATACCATGCAGTATTTGTCCTTTTCTGTCTGGCTTATTTAACTTAGCATAATGTTACTCTTCATTGCAGTATAGCACCACAAATTGAGTGCAGTAATTTCCTTTAACTATAATATAGTTATAATCTAAATATATTTTGATTATATTTACAGCATTCCACTTAAAATTATTCCTTGCACTTAAAAGAGTGATTGAAAAATTACTTTAAGAAGTCTAACAGTAAACAACATTAAAGAATACTTAACAACATAGGAAGTCAGGCTTGTAAATTATAAGTTAAAGAACATAAATTAAAAAAATTTTTAAGAATGATTTCTAGGTAATAACTAGGCTTCAAGTATAATTTTTAAAAGGATAATAACCAGATATTTTTTGACTTCATACAGAAGAAAAGGTGGTTAGAGTGCCGTGTGCTAGACTGAATCTAATAAAAGTTAATTACCAATAAAGTTTCCATTAGGGTGGTGGGCAGAACAAGTCTAAATATAGAACACCATACTGAATCATTAGGGATTAAGCAGCTTCATCTTT